AAGAGAAAAAGTTAGCACTTGTGTCCTTCTGCCTCATATTTTAATTGGGGTGTATATTTCCCTGGCCTCTCCTATTCCCATTCTGTGCACACACATATGTATACACAGGCCCCCACACACATTAGCCTGAGCTTCTTGGGCATAAGAGACATTTTGAATCTACCTTTAACATCAAACATGGTGTTGTGAATGTCGTAAACTGTCAAAATTCATCAAATTCAAGGGTTAGGAGCTCTATAAACCTTGCTGCAATGTACCAAATGTTTGTGTCCCCCCAAAATTTATACATTAAAATCTCAATCCTTAATGTGATGGTGTTAGTAGGTGGGACCTGCAAATTCATGGGTGGAACTCTCATGAATGGGATTAGTGCCCTTATAAAAGTGCCCAGAGAGGTTTCTTACCTTCTTCTTGTCCTGTGAGGATACAATGAGAAGTTTGCATTCCACAGCCTGGAAGAGGGACCTCGCCGCAACCTGAGGGTGTGATCTGACTTCCAGCCTCCAGAACTGTGAGAAAGAAATTTCTGTTTATAAACTACCTAGTTGGTGGTATTCTGTTATTGCAGCCAGAACTCACTAAGTTATTTGGCTATAGCTGAGACATTATTGATCTCTTTATATTAGTGAACTTTTACCAGGCATTTACAATTTTTTGCCTTAAGAATAATAATTTCACAGATTACGAATGTAATCTAGTCTCATGTCCAGAGGTGAGGGTAGGTTTTCCTAAGTAGGGTCTCAGAGACAAGTCCCCCCCCTTTTTTTAAAATGTTTTAATTTTTTTAAAGTAATTTTTTTAAAAGTATTTATTTATTTATTTACTTGAGAGAGAGAGAGAGAGAGAGAGGGAGAAGCAGGCTCCCCGCTGAGCCGGGAGCCAGATGTGGGGCTCAGTCCCAGGGACCTGGGATCATGACCTGAGCTGAAGGCAGACACTTAACTGTGTGAGCCACCCAGGTGCCCCTTTATTTAAAATTTATTTGAGAGAGAGAGAGAAAAAAAGTACAAATGGGAGAAGGAGAAGCAGGCTTCCCGCGGAGGAGGGAGCCCAATCCCAGGATCCTGAGATCATGACCTGAGATGAAGGCAGATGCTTAACCAACTGAGCCAGCCAGGTATCCCGAGATAACTCCCTTCTTAATCTCTGGCCTCTCTTCCCCAGGTATTTTGGGAAGGTGGAGACAGCATGAGTCAGTAGATGCATTGCTATGTAGTAAATAATAGCAAGGGTAGAGCAATCACAAGTCCATTTATTTGGGTCTCCAATAATCTATCTCAGTGAACATTAATAACTTTCCTTTGTAGCAGTCTTGCACAAGTTTTGAATCTTCTCTTTAATTATGTTTTCTAGCCGTTTCCTGCTGGTGAATAGAAATACATCTGACTTATATATTAATCTTCTATCCAGCTACCTATTAAACTCTGCTATTTTTTCAATTCTTTGTGGACATTTGTGAGTTTTCTACACAAGCAATAATATCTGAATATGGCAGTTTTACTTTCTCCTTTCCAAGTATTAGGTCTGTAAAAGCAGGGGAGTGAGTAAATGGAATTATACTGTTGTAAGATTATTACATTTGTGAAGCATGAAGTGTAAAATGTCAAGTGGAAAGTGAGAATTGAAAAATGGAAAACAGAAACTGTCAGGTATAAAAGGTAAAGTGTGAATAGCGACAATACTGACAGTAAATGGACATTGATGAGTTAAGTAATCCTATTGTTAGTCATAGAACAAATATTAGCAACATAATAAAAAGAGATACAGCTAAGAAGGCAGTAGATAAAATGGAACGACCAAAAAAAAAAAAAAAAATCAAGTAACCCAAAAGAAGGAAAGAAAGGCATAACAGATTAACAAAAAAGAGAAGATATAAAATGAAAATAAGTAGCAATATTAGAGACTTAAATTAACTATACTGATAATTACATTATGTGCAAATGGACTAAATACACCAATTAAAAGGCAGAAATTGTCAGACTGAGTTAAAAAAGCAAGGCCCTACTCACTTCTGGGGAAATTATAAACCTTGTAAGCTTTTCAGAGAATTTTTGTTACTTCCTTTTTTTTGTACAGAAATTTACATAATTTGAATTTGATCTAGCTTGTCATTTCATTAGAAATTGGAAATATGGGTGAATCTGAGCAAAATACTGTATTGAATCAAATCTGCTTTGATCACTCTTTCTCTTCCTTTTCTTTTTAGAAAACTATTACTCCTTCTCTGAGAAAAGAAAAACCTAAATAATCTGCAGGTAAAAAAACAAAAACAAAAACACAAAACTTATTCTGAATGCCTTCAACAGGGCTCCAATTTTCATGCAAACAAGACCCCAGCTTGAGAGAAAATTTCATCTTTGCCTGGAATGCCCCATAACACATTGTAAGAGGCTCTATAGTATAGTTATGGAACTTGGTGTTTTTTTAAAAAAATTATTTATTTAAAGTAATCTCTATACCTAGCCTGGGGCTCAAACTCACAACCTAGAGATCAAGAGTCAAATGCTCCTTCAACAGAGCTAGCCAGGTGCCCCTAAACCTTTGTTGGTTTAAAGTTGTAAATCCCAAAGAGATTTTTTAGTTGATCTAAGTTAATAAAGCCTTATCATAATAAACTTAGTGATTGGTCATTTTATCATATGTAAAAAAATACATCTCTCTGGGAGACATCACAAGATTTGCTATCATTGAGTGGAAAGAATAAAATCCCCGATCATACGTGAATTTGGACTCTATGTACACACACACACACATCTATATTTAGAACCATCTTAACAAGTTCACATTTCAACTGAAGAAAATGTATAACAAAAGCATGGTAAAACCACATCTTTCTCACCTTTGACACAGTTCTTGGAAGAATTGAAAAGGGGGACCACAGAACTCTGAATGCTTTTGGCAAAATGATGCCCTGTCCCCCTAATACCCCTCACTGCAAATATCTAAGATACCAATGACAAGTAGGTTATCATTGGAACCGATTATTTACCTCCCCTTAAAGCCCATTAGAACTCATTCCATCATGCCTTGAGTGCATAAAACCCAAACTCCCAGGTTATTTTTAGCACTTGTATTTTCCTCTCTGTACCTTCTCATTGAGTCAAATTCACATCACTCCCTGACCTGGCAAACCTGTCCATTATGTCCTCTGTAACTTAAAATCTGCAAGCAAGAAAATCCCTTAGATCATACAAATGATCCAGGTAGCTACACAGCTATTCTCTGCCAAGTCCAGATCTTAACCCACAGCTTTTATTGAGCAGGGGGCATGGAGGTGAACTCAAAGGGCAGTTATCTAAAGTGGCACCACCTGGGCACCATAGGATCTCTACTAGTTATCTAAGGTGGCGCCTTCTGTGCACCACTTTAGGGAGATCAAAACAAGTCTTCCCACATTCCAGTCAGGGCTTACATTAACTTCCATGGGGCCTGGAACACAAGCCCCAAGGGAGGTTGCTCAGTAGGCATGAACAAGATGGAGGGCCAAAGATGGAGTCAAGGTCGTCAGCACTCCTACAGATTTGTTGAGCAAAAAACAAAGTGTATGTATGTATGTGTATATATGTATGTATACAGGTTATAAGTCAGAAAATTTAGATCTAGTTTTATATTCTGAATAATACAAATGGCTAGAAAATGGAATAAAATCTCAGTAAGCATCATAGGGAAAGAATTAATTGTATTAAAAAAATTCATACTGTTTAATAATGCATAATTTTGTTTTTGTAATAGAAGGTAATTATAAAATGTATACTGGGGACCAAGATAATGCCAAAGTCTTTACAAACTTAGGGTGCTATTTTGCCAGAGTTAACATATAATTTTGGTTGGTATCATTTCTTGCATTTAATATATTAAATAAAGACAGCAGGAACTACACAAGAAGGAACGTATAACTCTCAAAAAGATACTGAGCTTAATTACATCAGAGAAAAATCTGTGATTCCTTTATGTAAAAAAAATATGTACATGATAAAATAATTTTGATATATAACTTCAATTTGACTGCTTTCGAGTGAGGTCTCATTGGCTGGAATGCATCATTTATTAGGCAGTCCTCATATTCTGGGAAGATTCTTTGGCAGTTTTTAGTCAACTGACTATTCAGAAGGGATTTAAAGAGCCAAGATTCATTTGGGATTTAACTGGTGAAAATACAGTCCAATTTCTTGATGAGAAAACCATAAAGTTAAAGAACTAACAGGTTTTTAGGCTTATTTATGTACCTGAGAGAATACAGCACCAAATCCATCATCAACAGCAGGTAAATGCCATGTCTGTTTTCTATTTTAGCCTCTGCTAATTCCAAGGGTGATTGCTGTCTTTTACAAATAAACAAAATAAAACAAAACAAATCAAGCAAATCTTTGGGGACAGTGCATTTCAAATAGCAAGCAAAGTATTGCTTATTGCTGCTATTATTTGTTATTTTTTATTCCAGTTAATAGTTGTTAAAATGCCATTATTTGTTAATTTTCAACAGGCCATGTTCTTGGTCACTTTTCCAGTCATCAAGAAGACGATATGGCAATCCATTCATATTCTTTTTTCCTAGTTTTCCTTACAACCAAAGTTTGGTCTGTATAGGATGGTTTAGATCAATGTAGTCAGAATAATAGGAAATTAAAACCAGAACATCTTGCAGGTAGAGTTGGCATAGCTGAGAATTTGTGTGAAAACTTTTACTTTAGTTTTTATTCACTGGATTTTGTTTTCACATTTCCAGTGTTTGTTTGTTTGTTTTTAAAGCCTCATTTTTCTTTTCTTGTTCAAATGAAACTATAAATTAGGCCTAGATATCAATAAACCTCATGAATCTAAAAAAAAAAAAAGGTCTACCATTTAAAGAAGAGCTTGAACACTACTGAGTTTACTTCATTTGCTACTCACTGTGTAGTATGTAGAATGAAACTAAAGGGACATTTGACTCCATCATGTCTAATTTTTTTCCCCTCTTCTTATTTTTAAGGAGACTGCTGTAATGGTGAAAACTATAAGCCATGTGTAACCTGTGGGTGGCATGGGTAGGAGTACTGCTGCCCTGGATCAAGTTCACTCATTCAGTCCTCAAACCAGCACTGTTTCCAGTGATCAAGAACCAACCTTTCAACATTTTCTGGGCTGCGCCAACAATGCAGTGTCAACATTTCTTCAATGTGGATTTGACTCTCCAGTTATTTAATATTATATCAAATCCTTTAGAGACTCAGAGCGGATCAACAATTGTCATATTTTATCCAAATGAATTAGGGTATTATCCTTATTTCTCTCAAGATGGAAAACCCTTTAATGGAGGGATTCCTCAGAATATGAGTCTTTCTAAACACCTCAAGAAGACAGCTGATGACATTGCAAAAGTTGTCTCTTGGTGGAGATCAGAAGGTCTTGTCGTCATTGACTGGGAAAGCTGGAAACCCCAATGGGGTAGAAATTGGGGCAATAGACTAATCTATAGAAACTTCTCCTTAGCCTTCACTAGAAACCGCCATCCTGACTGGTCAGAAATGAAAGTGAATACAGTTGCCCAACAGGAGTTTGAAAATGCAGGAAGGAGTTTTATGCACACCACTCTCTCACTGGCTTTAGAAATGAGACCAAAGTGTTTATGGGGCTTTTATCTCTACCCAGACTGCTACAATTATGATTATAAAATAAACCCACAGACGTACACAGGTAAATGCCCAAATGATGAAATTTTCCACAACGACCAACTCCAGTGGCTATGGGAAAAAAGCACAGCACTTTATACTTCAATATATTTGGATAAAATATTGAAGTCAAGTTTAAATGCTTTGAAATTTGTTCATTATCGAGTTAGGGAAGCCATGAGGATTGCTGAAATGGCTAGACATGACTATATTTTGCCAGTTTTTATTTTTTCCAGGCCATTTTATTTGCATAGTATTGAAGCTTTGTCACAGGTAAGAAAAAATAGTCACTCACCTAAAAATGGAAATTTAGTACAATGACTATATAAAATCTGTGAAAAAATGCTTTAGTATAATTATTTCCCCTTAATAATAGAACACTATTTTATTTTATTTTTAGAACACTATTTTATTATTAAAGGTATATATTTTTTCAAATGTCAAGTCAGTTCTGAAACAGCATCACTGACAATTAGATGTTTACTTGGTTTTAAGATGATGATTCTTATTAGCTTAGCATTTTCAGGGGTTTCCCGCAAAAGAGTTGTCAAGCTTGAATTAAATGATGCAACAGATTAATTTTAACCCTGGAGAAATTTCAGAATCAGCTTTTTAATAGGAAAGAGTAGTAGCAATTTTTCAAATCTAAAAACATACAAAACAAAGCTTGGGTAAATTATTAAGCAATTACAATTTTTGTTACATTGCATTTTCATGTTTTAACTAAGTTCATTGAAAAATAACATCAATTCCATTGATTTTATATGTTTAAGAGTCTACAATGTGGCTAGTGTCAAGGCTTTTAAAATGGTTTCTGTACACAGATAGATATTGTCCTTAGACTTAACACAAAGTAGGAAGCACAAAGAGGTGGGAATGAGCTTGTTTGGAAGATAATGAGTTTGCAGACACGTGGAAGTATTCAAGCTTTAGCTAGATTGTTATTTAAATAGGAGATTATTATAGGGCTTCAATCATTGGATGGATAGCTAGATAAGAAAACCCTTAAATCTCCATCCATACCTGTGAGCCCACAGTTCTGTTACTCCAATACCCAACACAGACACAGGGCCATTGGAAAGACAACACAGCTCACCTTATTAGACCACTCATGTTTGAGATGAGGAAATTTAAAAGCAGTATCAATTCTTCCTCAAATTTTTCAGAATAAACATCTACTGACCCAAATGCTGTTGATCAGACTTGACATTTCTATCATTGAAGGATTACTCATTAATGATGTTCATTCAGTCATAGCATCTTGGCAAAAAGTTGGAGATCTCAGAGGTGTCTAATCCACCTTTCACCCAAACGTGGATTCTTTCTTATCTGGCCTCTGCTTCAGCACCTTTCAATGGGCTCTCCCTATTCCAGAAGAAAAACTGCCATTTGGGGACAATGTTAATTCCCAGAAAGTTCTTGAGTATGTTGAGTCTATTCTGCTCCTGGATAACTTCATACCATTAATTCTAATTCTACCTTCTGGTGCAACCTAGAATAAAGCAAATCCTTCTTTCAAAAGTCAGGTCTCCAGGTATTTGAATACATTAGTTATACCTACCAAAGTCTTCTCATAAGTCATTCCTCAAGAAACAGATCTCTCAAATCATGTCACTTTCTCAAATCCTTTTGGGAAAAAGACTAGGTTATATTTATTCATTCCAAAATTATTTATTGAGTGCCTATAATGTGTCATTGTATTAATAATAGTAATGATAATAACAGTACTAATATTATTATTGTTAATAATAATAATGGTAGAAACTAATAATGGTCCATACAGTTAGTTTGTCTTGAAAGAAAATGAGAGAATGAGATGCGCCACATTATATTTTATTTTTTTAAAGATTTTATTTATTTATTTGACAGAGAGAGAGAGAGCACATGAGCAGGGGGAGGGGCAGAGGGAGGAGAAGCAGGCTCCCGGCTGAGCAAGGAGCCTGATGCGGGACTCGATCCCAGGACCCTGGGATCATGACCTGAGCCGAAGGCAGACACTTAACCGACTGAGCCACCCAGGTGTCCCAAGATGAGCCACATTTTAATGAAAGTCTTGTTTAACTTTATTTTTTGTGCTATTAGACTTCTCACATAAATTATGGGCTAAGTATCACCTCTGAGCTCTACTTCAGAAATCAATAGACCACATACTCTACTCATAAAAAACTACAGAATTAATCTGAGTATTATTATATTGAAGCATTTTAAAACATCCTATTGCCTTCACCAATCAACAAATGATATGAGTCTTTTTTACTTATTGTCTAAATAACATAAATTTTCAAAGAAATAATTTAGAATACCAACTCTGGGGGCACCTGGGTGGCTCAGTCAGTTGAGCGTCTGCCTTCGGCTCAGGTCACGACCCCGGGGTCCTGGGATCGAGCCCCGCATCGGGCTCCCTGCTCGGCGGGAAGCCTGCTTCTCCCTCTCCTGCTCCCCCTGCTTGTATTCCTTCTCTTGCTGTGTCTCTCTCCGTCAAATAAATAAATAAAATCTTAAAAAAAAAAATAGAATACCAACTCCGTTTGATATTTTCTTTCAGAAGTGTCTCAATTTAAGTGAGGGACTTGATTTACATTTAAGGAATGTAATACTGGCTAGTTAAATAGAAGGATGGTTTCCTTTCTTGTTGCATTACCTACCCAATTTGCGGAACGTAAGCACTAGTGTTACTGGAGGCTTCCCATAGTGCAGGGACACTTTGCCATGACATGGCCATTTTCTAATCCTAGTTTTTGAACATTGAGTCTTTGCCCTGGCTCTCTGGTTCTCCACACCTTGGAAGGAAGGGAAGAATGCAGATTCCTTCATCTATCATCTTCTCTTTGTTCCATCTCCCCTTATGCCCTGCATCTTTGTTCTTGCTCTATAATCATGAACATAACCTTCTCAGTTTCTTGTCTTGGTAAATTATAATCTACTTAGTCGCTCAGTTTGAGTGTCACTTGTATCCTCCCTTCTCTTTCCATTATCCAATAGATATCCATCTTAATTTCCAAATCACTCTTCAATCTGTCCCCTCTGCTTTACAAGGACTGACATTGCCTTTGTTGAGACCCTCATCATTTCTCATTGAGCAGTGTGCATCATCTCCTAATTGGTGTCCCTTGCTACCATCTTGACTTCCTCCTCCAATACATGTTTTATGTGACAGCCAAAAACATCTATCCAAGTTGCAAATTTGTGGTTTTCCAGTACTAAAACTTTTTTTTGTACTTAAGTCCTAATAATTTAAAATAGCATAAAAGACTCTTTGTATTTGGATCCTCCCTATATACAAAGATTCAGATGCCTTCACTTCTTCCCAAATCCCCTGTGCTTTACCACAAGAGCTACTGGCAGTTCCCTGGGAGGACTGTTTTTTTCTACATAGGAACCTCTGCCCTTATTCTTCCTACTGTACAAAATTCTGCCCTCTCTAATTGGTCTTATGAATTTGCACTCATTTCCAAGAACACATCTGAAATCTCACCTCCTGTTTTCCCAGACTCTTCCATGCAGCATTAAGCAGTACTTCTGATCTATAGGTCTAGTGGGACAAAATAGAACTTAATTTGTTATACTATAATTACTTTTTTTTTAATCACAGCAAGCTTTGTTCTTTTTTCATTATTATTATTGTTCAGTAGTTAGAAGTAGTATAGCATCAAAGTTAAGAGTTCCAGCAAATTATAATTACTTGTTTATATGTCTGTCTCAACCATCACACTAAAGAGCTCCCTTGAGGACAGGAACTGGAATCTATTTCATTTTCATATTCTCAGTGTCTAGAATATTGCCTGCAACATCATAAATATTTGTCAAATAAAAGTAAGTAACCAAGGCAAAATTACCTTTCCTAATTCTGCTCTACAGTCCTTTGTTCCAGAAACACGGATAACATTATCAGTGTGTTTTTTACCACAGTTGATGGGTTGAGTCTTATCACTGAAATGTCAATGACTAAATTTAGTTTGGCAGAAACTACTTGTGATACTTTTCTTTTCTAGGAAGATTTAGTACATACAATTGGCGAGAGCGCCGCGTTGGGGGCGGCAGGGATAATATTGTGGGGAGGATACGAAGATTCTGATTCAAAGGTAAGCAGTGATTTCTCTGTCAGCATCTTGAATATATTCTAGATACTGTTTTTCGTTTTACTTTTTCACTTCAGAGACAAATGGTTATCTGCTCCCATGATTTTAATGAAGTTCAAAGAGTACAGGGACTAACACTGCTCGAGCACCTACTCTGTACCAGCCATGTGGCTAGTGGCAGCATGGAAAGAACACAGGTTTTCCAATCAGACAGCCTGAAGGGGGGATTCAGTTTTCATGTTCTAGAAGTGTAATCTTTTTTTTTTTTTAAAGATTTTTATTTATTTATTTGATAGAGAGAGACACAGCGAGAGAGGGAACACAAGCAGGGGGAGGGGGAGAGGGAGAAGCAGGCTCCCTGCAGAGCAGGGAGCCCGACGTGGGACTCAATCCCGGGACTCCAGGATCATGACCTGAGCCGAAGGCAGTCGCTTAACCGACTGAGCCACCCAGGCGCCCCTCTAGAAGTGTAATCTTAGGCTAGTTAATTAACTTCTCTGAGTCTGAGTTTCTCCATCTTAAAAAAAAAAAGGTACTGAAATAAAATCCCTAAAAAACATCCCTACTCTGCAGGGATTTCAGTAGATGCAATGATATAATGTATATGTGACAAAGAAAAAGAATACTAAAGTTTAAAAATAAATATTATTTCATCCACGTTAAGAAGGATGGATTTTCTAAAAATGGCTCTTTATTGCCTGATTGGCGATGATAGAAATGCTCTTGGGAGGAAAAAATATATGTATACAAAGGTTTATTAACAACCTGTTCTTGGTAGCAGTGCAAACACAAAATAGCTATTATTTTTCACAACTGAATTTGAACATGTTCTATTGGTCGCGTGTGACACTGCCTAAGTGAAAATTCTGAACCACAGCTTTTCCTCACTTCCAGGTATGAACAAATAGTCTCATTTTCAGGTATTAAAACATCCAGTCTCATAAAACATAAAAACAGCCATCTCTTTCTCATTCAGCATGGCACGAATGAGAATCTGCATGGAGGAGCTGTTAAAAGCAGGGGGCCTGAAGCTGGGTTGTTTGGAGTCCACTGCTTGCTTTTTGTCACCTACTAGCCATGTGACCTTGAGCAACTCATTAACTCTACAATTCCTCTATCTGTAAAATGGGGGAAATAATAGTATCTGTCTCACTGGGCTCTTATGCGAATTGCATCATAACACACGTAAAGCGTTAAAACCGTGCCTGGGATGCGGTATGTGTCAGGTACATGTTGGCTATTATTATCCGGGTTAACATTTCCTGCCCTCTGTCCCCACACAACACACTTAGGTCTTAGGTATGGGCAAGAGGAGTATGGGGAAATTTCTTTGTTCATTTGCTTTAAGAAAGGGTGTGGGAGACTGGGTTGGGGAGGAGACAAAGTGGGCAATGTAATTTTTATTTATTTGGGGCATTTATAATATTTTTATCTTTTGAAGTTCTTCCCACACAACTGCCACATAGGGACTGGCTCTTTCTTGCATGCGGGGTCACTGAGATTTGGTTAGAGACACCCCCACACCGCACGCAACTCGCACCCCCCAAGGCTTTGCTCCTGAGGCATTGGCAAGAGGAAGCTGGCATATGCTCAGATGGGGAAGACTGCCAGAGTTGCAGGCTGGCAAGAGGATCAGCAGATCACATGGGACTGTGTTAAGTTTGAAGTGCTTGTGAGACATGCAGGTGGAGATGTCACATAGGTAGGTGGGTATGCAATTGGTTCAGGGATAAAGTCTGAGAAATACACAGTTGGGAGTTCTATTTAAAGCAAGGAGGTGGGGTGAGTATGTCCAGAGAGAATATAGCTAGAGAAGAGAGGAGGTCCAAGAATTAAGCCTAAAGTACTCCAGTGCTCAGAGGTAGGAAAGATGAGCAGGAGCCAGTAAAGGACACTGTGAAGGAATGTCCAGTGAGGTAGAAAAAACCCAGTGGGGTGTGATGTCCTGGAAGCTAAGTGAAGAAGGTATGTCAAGGAAGAGCACTGGGACAGAACAGGAGATGCCCAAGTTGAACTTGATTGTATTTACCTGTGTTCTATGCTCTCTTTGAGTATAGTCTTCCCTCAATCCCTCTCTCTCTCTCTTTTGTTCAATGGTTTGCTTGCTTTTTTTTATTCCATCTGTCCTAGAAACCCCCTCAGATAAGGAGGCTTGTCCTGACTAAAAATAGCATTTGTTCCTCAATAGAGTATGAGGCTAGCTTAGACTGATGTCCCTGCACCGAAAACATTACACACAGGATTTTCATCACTTGTTACTGCCCAAAGTGATACCTTGTTCAACCACCTGTCATTAGGAGCTTTATTCCACCTTGTGACCTTCCATTTGAACCCCCTAAGTTCTCTCTAGATGGATTCACAGTCCTGGTGCCTCTTTCTCACTGAGAAAATATCCCAGTGCTTTAAATTAATTGGAGTTTAATTATGGACCAGTGTTAATATTGATCAAAATAATTGAAGTGCTAATGGAGAACTGAGTGTATGTTATTAATGAATCTACTAGGATTTTCCCATGGTTCTTCCTACATGGATCAAGGCAGGAATTTATCAAGGTTCTAGCCAGATTCTTCTGGGCTACCTGATGATATCATTTTGATTAGGCCAGCCTATCCTAGCAGCACAGTGTGATCAATAGGTGGACATATGTCCTAAAGTCCAAAGTTGGGGACATATCATTCACACCTAATGGCAGCTTGTGGAAGACCACCTTCCTCACTATCACTGGACCCTATATGCTAGGACAAGTGATTTGGGCATTTGGTAATAAATAATGACCTTTCATGTTCTACCTACTACAACCTGACTGATGGACAAATAAAGTATGCTGTATTTATAGTATAAATACTGAGTCACAGCTAAAATGAAAAAAAAAAAAAAACAGAGCTACATAGCTACATATATCAATATGAAACAAAAATCTTGAAAATGTTAACTTTAAAAGGCAAGTTGCAGAAAATAAAATATCTCTAATGATATAAATTTATGTGAAAGTTTAAAAACACAAGATAATACTATAGCTGCTCATAATTATATATATATGCAAAGTAAATATATATATAGTAAAGTTATAAAAACATGGATGCAAAGACTACCCTCCCCCTCCCCCCAACTTCAGGAGAACTGTTACCTCCTTAGAGGTAGGGAGAAGAATGGGATAACATGGCAGTCTTAGAAAAATCTGACCTATAATATTAACGTATATTAAGTATCGGTGTTGAAGATGTGTCACAATTAAAGTTAAATTTAAAATAACCATGCCATATTAATGCTGACCTTTTAAAAGTGTTACTACAAATATCTCTTTATATTAGTTCCTAGTTAAAGATATGGATCTCCCTCCTCAGCCTTACCAAATATAAAGCTTCAGGTATTAATACCACCTGTATAATAGAATCACATTTTGAGAGTGAGCTAAATCGATCTCTACTTTTCCTACAGGAGACCTGCTTATCTGTGCAAAAGTCTATCCAAGGGCCATTGGGCCATTATGCTGTTAATGTGACATCTGCAGCCAAATTCTGCAGTCAAAGTCTATGTAACAATAATGGAAGATGTATCCGAAAAATACCTGAATCCTCCTCCTATCTGCATATGCCTGAAAGCAGCACTAAGAAGTACATCCTAAGTAAGAGTTTCAGATTCATCATTTCTCCAACTAGTAAACTGAAGACAATAAGGGCCATGAAGAATGGATTTGTGTGTCACTGCTATTTCGGCTGGCACGGAGAATCTTGCCAGCAACAGTCTTCAGATCTCTTGAGAGGGAAGAGTGAGGCGCCTATGACTAACTTTAACTTATCAGTTTTTCTCAGCATGACCTTATCTATGATTCTGTGGAATTCTGTCACCCCCTATTTCAATGTCAGTTTTTCCTTGAAATACTGAAGAGTAGAAAATGCTGGGGTTTTTTTTCCCTTTCACTTAAGCTACTTCTAAAATATTTATTGGCTTTAAAGTAAAACATTTTTCAAAAGTGATCATTGGCTCCCCATTCCTTGCCAGAGTGATTATTTTATGGGGCGCTTCCTTCGTGCTAGGCATTAGGCATGAGGAAGTGAACACACAAAAGTCCCTGCCCTTGCAGAGCTTAGATTCTTGTGAGAAACTGAACAATAATAAGTAAACCATAAATAAATACATATATATCAAATGAAGATAAGTGCTGTGGAAAATAATAAAGTAGGGTGAAGGGATCAGGGGGTGTGGCAGAGCACTGGAAATTGTATATAAGGTAGACAAATAAGCCCCCTAATGAGATGACCTGAAGGGGGAAGCACATAGCAACTACATCCGCATTCTTGGAGTGGGGAATAGGGAAGAGCAAAGGGAGCAGACATGGAGAGTTTCAGGACATCAAGAAGGCCAGTGTGGCTGATGCAGGAGGAAGAGGAGGGGGAGGTCATTCATTAACTTTGTAAGAACTAAGAGTGTGAGCGAAGGTATTTTTTTTTTTTAATAATTAAAGAGAAATTTCTGGAGGAAATCCAGTCAAATAAGATATAATATCTACATTAAAAAATAATATACACTTAAATTGGATAAAAACAATAGCATCTATTAGGATTAGATCGATATTGCTACTATGTTCTTGAGACTCCAACCATTTATAACAAATTGGAAAATTTGTTGTTAGGTCATATGGAATATGGAGCACTACAATAACATGGGAGCTAAAGAAGGCAAACATTATGTTCTAGCTATTTGTGCTCCAGGGACTGGGAATTTCTAAATAACTCAAGTGACCCCAGGATACCAAGTCATAGGGCAAGAGGGAATCTATACTGAATTCTGTCAGGTTCAATTTTATCAGGAGTATCACTAGGGCTCTTAGAAATTGATTTGGCAATATCCTCACCAGATGTTAAGTCCTATTAGACTCCTCTAAAATGGAATTTATATAAGAAATTCTTTGATATTTGTTGGTTTATTAAAGTATACTGTATCTAAGCAACTCATTTCCTTTCAATTCTTGATGCATGCTAAGTCATTTGAAAAATTCATTTGGTCACTTGGGCTGACCTAGTTATAATCCAGATCAATGTATTTCATAAAGACTCAAAAGAGATTAATAGTATCCCAAATAATTTCCCTCAGCTTAGGGAGGATACTGTCTGACACTTTCCAAATACTGTACTTTCATATGTACTTCATCTTGGCCCACATATAGAGGGTGGATAGGAAGATCACACTCAGATTCGGACTTCATTTGTTCATTTGTTCATTCATTCATTTTCAGGAGGAGTAAAAGTTAAGGAGGCAGTGAAATAGAATAAGTCAAATTGAGGGCTCTTTGCTAAATTCCCCTATTTTGTTAGTATTCTGCTGCACCAAGGCTGAAATTACAGTCATTCAATTCTTTTGCCCAAACAAGAAATGTTTTTACAACTATCAAAGTTGGTAATAAGCCATGATAAGTGAAGAGGAATAGCTCTTATCCTTACAGGGATGTTTTCAACTTTATTCTATCAAGGTTTTGATATGCAATGAATTCCACTAAAGCAGGAAAAGTCAAATATTAATAAGTATTATCACCGTTCTAAAGATGAAGAAAATAGGATATGGAGAGAATGAAAGGTATAGCTAATTTTACCCACTTATCAATGAATACATCAAGTATAGGATACACATCACCGCTCCCTACTGTTTAAGCTTACAGTGCCTCCAAAATAATCAAGGGATAAGAAGAAGAATTGAGGTAGATGAAAGAAAAAGGGAAAACATATAGAAGATACATAGAAGAAAATAGGAAACATCCCAATTCTATAATTCACAGATAATCATTTTTTTCTAAATAAAAAATGTTAAATTTTATGTCACTTAAATTTAATAGCAAGCAAAAGAAGCTAAGACCCAAGGAACTACCACATTTCTAATAATCGATTCTTCAAAACTTTGTTTTTTTTTTTTAAATCTGCTCAAGTTAAAAACAGATTATGAAAAACATTTAATTTTGTTGTAATTTATTTTGACTTGCATAACTTTGGGTTTCCAGACTATAATACTTAGTCAACTATCTCATAAAAATGGGAAGTCATCAATTATGTCCAATCCAAAGACAAATATGCACCTCTTTATTTTTCTTGTAAAAAATCAAAATTTAAACTCTATTCCTCTGCTATGATAATTCTTCAAGAGACATTAATAAAGGATACATCTGTAAGAAAAATGGCTTTTAAATACTACAAATCACTTTAGTAAATGAAATATACTTTCCAAGATGATAGGTAGTCCTCGTTAGACACCCAAAAAGCACCCGTCTCTCTCCTGACTTGCCTGAAAAATGACACTGCCTCTTCAAGGCACTGAAGGTATTTCTTACCACCCATTAATTGTTCAAAAATCACAGTACCTTTTATTTGGACACAAGCTTTTTTTATCAGATACTTGTTTTTTCCCAGTCTCTTAATTGTTTCACACCACAATCACATGGAATGTATGTCTTCACCTCAGAAACAGAATGTCATAATCATACTTTCTGGTCCTCAGTAAATTCATAATTCATGTCATCATCTTTATTTTATTTTTTAAAAAATTATTTATTTATTAACAAATAATCAAGTCAAAAAGTGGGCATAAGATATGAAAAGACACTTCTCTAAAGAAGACATACAAATGGCTAACAGACACATGAAAAAATGTTCATCATCATTAGCCATCAGGGAAATCCAAATCAAAACCACATTGAGATACCACCTTACACCAGTTAGAATGGCAAAAATGGACAGGGAAAGAAACAACAAAGGTTGGAGAGGTTGTGGAGAAAGGGGAACCCTCTTACCCTGTTGGTGGGAATGCAAGTTGGTACAGCCACTTTGGAAAACAGTGTGGAGGTGCCTCAAAAATTTTAAAATAGAGCTACCCTATGACCCAGCAATTGCACTCCTGGGTATTTACCCCAAAGACACAGATGTAGTGAAAAGAAGGGCCATATGCACCCCAATGTTTATAGCAGCAATGTTCGCAATAACCAAACTGTGGAAAGAGCTGAGATGCCCTTCAACAGATGAATGGATAAAGAAGATGTGGTCCATATATACAATGGAATATTACTCAGCCATCAGAAAAGATGAATACCCAACTTTTACATCAACATGGATGGGACTGGAGGAGATTATGCTAAATGAAATAAGTCAAGTAGAGAAAGTCAATTATCATATGGTTTCACTTATTTGTGGAACATAAGGAATAACATGGAGGACATTAGGAGAAGGAAGGGAAAAATGGGGAGGGGGAATTGGAGGGAGAGATGAACCATGAGAGACTATGGACTCTGAGAAACAAACAGGGTTTTAGAGGGGAGGGGAGGAGGGGAGACTGGTTAGCCCGGTGATGGGTATTAAGGAGGGCACGTACTGCATGGAGCACTGGGTGTTACATGAAAACAATGGATCGTGGATCACCACATCAAAAACCAATGATGTATTGTATGGTGACTAACATAATAAAAATTAAAATATATATATATATATATTTATTTATTTATTTGAGAGAGTGAGTGAGAAAGAGTGAGAGAGAGAGAGAGAAGGAGCAGGGGGAGGGGCAGAGGGTGAGTGAGAAGCAGACTCCCCACTGAGCAGGGAGCCCGATGTGGGGCTTGATCTCAGGATTCCAGGATCATGACCTAAGCTGAAGATAGACACTCAACCGACTGAGCCACCCAGGCACCCCCATCATCTTTATTTTAAATTAGGGATAGTCTTTACAAAGCCTTGTAGCTTTCCCTTTTAATTTAGACTCTCATCTTTAGCTCAGGATAATTTTCTTTCATTATTTTTCAATGGTTTCCTTTCTTCCATTCTCTATCTACTTATGAAATTACTATTAGATGGATCTTAGTTCCAGATCTGTACTAGATGTTGCTTTCCTTTCCAGGATTCTAAGTCTGTTTTTTTTGCTTTGTAACAGATTCACCCACCTTTTCTTCTAGAATATTAGTTTAGTCTTCATCGTATTTTTAATTCCAAAGAACTCTTTTTTTTTGTGCATGTAAGGAAATTGCTCCTTTTTTGTAACAGCCGTGTTTTGGTTTGTGGATTTGATAGCTACCTGAACCTCTCTGAGAATATCAATTAGATTTTTTAAATTGCAGTTGTTGTTATACATTTTATTCTGTTCACTTTCTCTAAGATCAGCTGTTCACTTTATTAATTTCTTCTCTTTCATACTGTCCATATGTACCAAATGTTTGGTGATCCTTGGTCATCTATTTGTATTCATGAAGGACTGGAGTGACTGAAAAAACTGTCACAGGGATCTCCCTTCCCCACATTTCTTTGGGCATTTTTACTCAACAGGATTCTTATGTGGAATGGGAGGATGGATTGTATGTAGACAGTGAAAGGGGCTGAGGCATGTTGACAAGTCAGAGCCCATTTGGAGCATGTGAATAGAAAACAGGCAAGTCTGGTAGGAACCCTCACAATTATCAAAGTAAGGAGAAACTAATCATGAAAGAAGAGTCTAATTCCTCATGGGTTGAGCAGGCTTTCCTTTCTTATCCCCTCCATGCCCACTAGGGAGACCATTTCATCTCTGCTTTTGTAGTCGGTCCAGTAGTCAAACTCTGAACTCTACTTAGGAAGATCTTTATATTTAAATGTCCTGGGGTCATGGGGCACCTGCCTGGCTCAGTCGGAAGAACATGCGACTCTTGATCTCAGGATTGTGAGTTCAAGCCCCACATTGGGTATAGAGATCACTAAAATAAATAACTAAATAAACTTAAAAAAAAATTAATGTCCTGGGGTCAAATGTCTTTGCTACTTGTCATTCTACATACTCTGGGAAGTTGAATGGTCTGGTTCTCCTATACTGGAAGAAATATTTAATTGATTGCTCTGATAATTAGTCTTCAACACACTTCATCTTTTGGATCTCCTGTCTCT